GTAGGTTTAGGGGTGGGATTAGGGATCAGTGGGTGGAGTTAGGTACACTCTAAAAAATGCTGGGTTGTTTTAACCCAATTTTGGGTCAAATATGGACAAACCCGAAATGTTGGGTTAAAAATGTAATGTAAAAATTTAACCCAACGGCTGGGTTAGTCCATATTTGACCCAAAGTTGGGTTAAAACAACCCAGCATTTTTTAGAGTGTAGGTTTAGGGGTGGGTTTAGGGATCAGGGGGTGGAGCTGGGTAGGTTTAGGGGTGGGTTTAGGGATCAGGGGGTGGAGTTGGGTAGGTTTAGGGGTGGGTTTAGGGATCAGGGGGTGGAGTTGGGTAGGTTTAGGGGTGTTTTTAGGAATGGGGGTGGAGTTGGGTAGGTTTAGGCGTGGGTTTAGGGATCAGGGGCTGGAGTTGGGTAGGTTTAGGGGTAGGTTTAGGGATCAGGGGGTGGAGTTGGGTAGGTTTAGGGGTGGGGTTAGGGATCAGGGGGTTGAGTTGGGTAGGTTTAGGGGTGGGTTTAGAGATCAGGGGGTGGAGTTGAGTAGTTTTAGGGGTGTTTTTAGGAATGGGGGTGGAGCTGGGTAGGTTTAGGCGTGGGGTTAGGGATCAGGGGCTGGAGTTGGGTAGGTTTAGGGGTGGATTTAGGATTTGAGGTGGAGCTGGGTAGGTTTAGGGGTTGGTTTAGGGATCAGAGGGTGGAGTTGGGTAGGTTTAGGGGTTGGTTTAGGGATCAGGGAGTTGAGTTGGGTAGGTTTAAGGGTGGGTTTAGAGATCAGGGGGTGGAGTTGGGTAGTTTTAGGGGTGTTTTTAGGAATGGGGGTGGAGCTGGGTAGGCTTAGGCGTGGGGTTAGGGATCAGGGGCTGGAGTTGGGTAGGTTTAGGGGTGGATTTAGGAATCGAGGTGGAGCTGGGTAGGTTTAGGGGTTGGTTTAATATTTTTATTGTGTGGTAACTGTTTTATAAAAGCAATAAGGTACTGGAAGTAAATGCTGTCTTGTAAATAAATCATGGCTAAAGGGGGCTCCGCTTCATGTCGTGCCTAACAACACCCTTCAGCCGTTACTTATTTACGATACAGCACAGCCTCTCGTACCTTATTGCTTACTGAAGTAACTTTTGAACTGAATCGTTGCCTTTTATTATACTGGTATCGCTAATGTTTTATAAAAGCAGTTGCTATTGCATTACAGTGATTTTAGTTTGGTTAAGAAGACTTTACCTCTGGCATCTGTCACAATCACACTTACACACAAACTCATCAATGTGAGAAGAACACTCAGTTGTCTTTATGAAGTAAGGTTGCGATACCATGGTACAGTCATAGTATCAGATGGTAATATGATACACCATAGGACTGAATGATTACCTCAAAGCCATGGAATGATTCATGAGAAAATAAAGTGGAGAACTAGACCATGAAAGATCTAGCTAATTTCTGTTGGCCACTTTACTTCACCCCTTCCTAGAATGATTCCGCTTACTCACTCTTTCCTGAAAATTAAGACAAATCTTCCTTGGGATTTTTTTTTTTTTTGTACAGCCTAAAATGACAGACCGAGCTCAGGAATACCAAAAAATATTTCTGGAGCCGTTGGTGACTTTAGCAACTGGTGTAGCTCTGGACATATACAAAGTCTCCGTAGTAAATGAACCGGACGGGCGAGTTGACCTTTGAGCTGGTGTCAGGCGAAACGGCACCGTGTGGCTAGACGGACCACAGCGTTCCTCCATCTGCGGGTCTGCTTCATTCCCAGCCGGCAGCCTTGGAGTCTGAGCACAAACGCTCACATTCGAGATGAATCACGCTGATAACAGTCATTAGAGTGTGTTTAATCTCAGATTGGGCTCGCTCGACAAGCCTGTCTGCACACAGACCTCAGATCAGATTGGTCCTGTTCCTGCTTCATATCACAGGCTGAACTTGTTCAAGATCCTCCCATGGGGACAGTTAGAAAGATCCAGAGCTGTTGTCCTAAATTTGACATTTGAGATATCAAAGGTGTCTCGGGACCTGTCAGACTTCACATTGCTGTGATACGTTCTACACTACAGGCCAAAACTCAAGAATCACCAATTAAATCAGCTGGTTAAAGAGCTTCTAGTTATTTTCCAGTGGTAAAGTGACCAGTTTTAGCCACCAATGGACATCTATAGCTTTTCACATTTATGAAATGTCCCATACGCCGTCTGACAGATTTATTCCTACATTAATACTACTTTGGTAACACTTTACTTCATAAACAGTAAAATGCATTATAAAAGTATGTTTAATGCATTCATTAAGGCTTGTAATGCATCTTATAATGCATTGTATGGGTTTAGGAATTATTGCAACTGCAGTTATAATACATTATTATACTTTCTTTTCATTGAACACAGCTTTAGAAAGTATGACACGACAAACAACCAATTTCAGCTGTAACAAGGAGACTTCATAATGCATTGTAACTTTGTTTCCAATTTATGAAAATATAAAATGCATTATAACATATATTATAAACACCTTTATAATGCATGATACAGAAAGGCTTTAAGTAAAGTGTTACCAAAAATGTTCTTGTTTTTTTTGGTCAAGACTTTTTTTTATATATAAAAACATCTTTAAATAAATGTATCTGACATGAAGTGTTTTATTTTAAGATTCAGAGAATATATATATATATTCTATTGACATATTGGCATTTTTTCTTAAGCATGAATCTAATATATATATATATATATATATATATATATATATAGTTATTATATATTCATTTACTATTATATATTCTTTTTACTATTAATAATCATATTTCCTATTATTTTACACAATTTTTGCATGATTTTTGAAGTGTGTAAATCATTCATAAATCCATTTCTACATAAATGTTCCTATTGAACTGGATGCAGCACTATGTACGTATGACACACAGAAATGCATGTTTGTGTTTTTAGGAATAAGGCCCAGTGTTGTTGCTAGGCAACACAACATCCCGCGTGTCGTCACAGGACAGTTTTAGCATTGCCAGTGTACGAGTTTGAGGTGTTATGCATTATTAGCAAGTGTGAATGATGTGACTAAATGAAGTAACACTGCAATAGAAGTTAGCATGTACTGACACAGACAGTTATAATTCCAGTACAGATGACCGTGGAAACTAACTTGTTAACTTACACAACTGAAACACACACTTGGCTGTGCATTAACATAATGGTCCGGCGTTTTCCCTTTGATGCTTGCGATGCAGCCGGTCACAGCAATTGGTTGTTTTCTTTTTTGATGAAATTTCATGCTGTTTAATTTTAACTTGCTTCTTTGGCTTGAATTAGCTTGGGAAAATGTTTCTGTAAGCAAAGAGCCAAATCCTGCCCCGCTAAGAGCCCGTCACGGCAGGCCGAGGAAACAGCCTCTAACATACAGACCTCCCCCACAAAACAAACAAGCACACGTTTCCTGATTACACGCTGTCTGTCTCTCTCTCTCTCTCTCTGTGTGTGTGTCTGTCTGTCTGTCTGCCTGTCTGTGTGTCTATCTGTCTGTCTGTCTGTCTGTCTGTCTGTCTGTCTGTCTGTCTGTATGTCTGTGTGTCTATCTGTCTGTCTGTCTGCCTGCCTTTCTGCCTGTCTGTCTGTCTGTCTGACTGTCTGTCTGCCTATCTGTCTGTCTACCTGTCTGTCTGTCTGTCTGCCTTTCTGCCTGTCTGTCTGTCTGTCCGACTGTCTGTTTGCCTGTCTGCCTGTCTGTCTGTCTGTCGGTCTGTCTGCCTGTCTGTCAATCTGTCTGTCTGTCTATCTGACTGTCTGTATTCCTGTCTGTCTGTCTGCCTGTCTGTCTACCTGTCTGTCTGTCTGTCTGACTGCCTTTCTGCCTGTCTGTCTGTCTGACTGCCTGTCTGTCTACCTGTCTGCCTGTCTGTCTATCTGTCTGTCTGACTGCCTTTCTGTCTGTCTGACTGCCTGTCTGCATGTCTGTCTGTTTGACTGCCTTTCTGCCTGTCTGTCTGCCTGTCTGTCTATCTGTCTGTCTGCCTGTCTGTCTACCTGTCTGTCTATCTGTCTGTCTGTCTGTCTGTCTGCCTGTCTGTCTGCCTGTCTGTCTTATCTGTCTGCCTGCCTGCCTGTCTGTCTGTCTATCTGTCTGTCTGACTGCCTGTCTGTCTGTCTGCCTATCTGCCTGTCTATCTGTTTCCCTGTCTGTCCATCTGTCTGTCTATCTGTCTACCTGTCTGTCTGTCTGCCTGTCTATCTGTCTGCCTGTCTGTCTGTCTGCCTCTCTGTCTGTCTGCCTGTCTGTCTCTCTGTCTATCTGTCTGTCAGTCTGCCTGTCTACTCGTCTGTCTGCCTGCCTTTCTGTCTGTCTATCTGTCTGTCTGCATGTCTATCTGCTTGTCTATCTGCTTGTCTGTCTGCCTGTCTTTCTACATGTCTATCTGTCTGTCTGCCTGCCTGCCTGTCTGTCTGGCTGTCTGGTTGTCTGCCTGTATGTATATCTACTTTTCTGTCTGTCTGTCTATCTGCCTGTCTGTCTGTATGGTGTTCTGCCTGTCGGTCTATCTGCTTGTCTGCCTGCCCATCTGTCTGTCTTTTTACCTGTCTGTCTGTCTCTCTGTCTGTCTATCTGCTTGTCTGTCTGTCTGTCTGTCTGTATAGTGTTCTACCTGTCTGTCTGTCTGCCTGCCTGTCTACCTGTCTGTCTTTTTACCTGTCTGTCTGTCTATCTGCTTGTCTGTCTGTCTGTTTGCCTGTCTGTCGGTCTGTCTGTCTGTCTTTCTGCCTGTCTATCTGTGTGCCTGCCTGCCTGTCTGTCTGTCTGCTCCCATAACACCTGACACAATGCTATTTAACTGACTTGATTTACGTAACACTTTCAGTTCACTCAGAATGATTTCCATGTACAGTATCGCACACAAGCTTCACTCCAGAGCTGGATGTGGGGTCTGTGTCAAACGAGTGAAACTCAACACACTGCTGTTATCCTGCGAGTGCAGTGCTGACGGATGCTCTCGTGTCTCTCTCCTGCAGCTGTACGGATACTGCTACCAGGACAGCAACGATATAAAGGACACGGTGACGGCCATCACAGAGCTGGGAAGCCCTCTGGAGATGATCACGCTGCTGCAGACACCCTGGGACGAGAGATTCAGGGTGAGTCTGGCCTCATATCACACTCAGCATCTACTGTCCGTCTGGAGCTCCAGGGACGCCCAGCCTTCATTTAGGCTTATCAGCTGTGAACCAATCTGAGTCAGGGATTTTGCTAACGTTACTATGATAAAATAATGAAATCTTATTGTGATTTAGATTATTTGACATTGTAAACAATTGTATACAATGGGGCTCAAAAGTCTCAAAACTAAAACTTTTTTTTAAAATTTAACCTAGAAATACATATAGTGTTTCAAAAAAATCTTTTTTAAATTTAAAAAAAAGCATAAAATAATCTAATGTTATTGTTATTTCTAGATTATTTGACATTTATATATACAGTATATATAAATAAATATATATATATATATATATATATATATTTAAACTAGAAACAAATAGAGCGTTTTCAAATTTGTAAAAAAAGCATTCAGAATAGTAAAATGATTAAATGTTATTGTGATTTACAGAATATTTGACATTGTAAAAAAATACATTGGGGCTCAAAAGTCTGAAATCTAAAACGTACTTGCTTATTACATATATATAATATATTTATTTATTTGTTTATTTATTTATTCTATTTATTCATTTCTTTTTACATTCAGCACAATAAAAAATAAAGGTTATTGTCAATTAAACATTAATTATGACATTGTAAAATATTAGTCTGAAACCATAATATAAGTCTGAAACCATATTGAAAACCTAAATAAATACAAAGTTTCAGAAACACTGACAAAATGTAAAAACTGTCCTGTTTATTTTTCATTTCACCATTTTTAGATTCAGCTTAATAAAAATATAAAGGTTCATTTTGATGAAATATCATTATAAAATATCATTATAATATCAGTATAAACAGTCTGAAACCTGAAAAAATCTGAATATTTATATATTCATTTTTATTTAGTTAGCTAGTTAGTTTATCATAGAAGTTTTAGAATTGTCCAAAACCTTTAAAACTTAAAGTTAACTTAAAATTAAAACTTTAAATTTTACTTCTAATGAATATATTTTTCTATTTCTGTATTTTTATTAACTAACATTAACAAAGATTTTAAAAAAAACAAAGCATTTTTCACTAGTGGTCTCAGACTTTTGTACACCGCTGAATATATTCCGAGATGTTATTTGAGAAAGATGAATAGATTGGGAGAGGCCAACAGCTCATTTACCCCGAATAAACAAACAGGGGAACAAAATTACATTCATTTCATAAAATTACTACCATTTCATAATGCAATGTAAACATTTTTAATGACTTCAACCCAGTTGGCCGACCTCTAACTGTGTTTTTTTTTGTGCAAAGCCACGGGTCAGCGGTTCATGCGTTCAGGTGCTCATGTTGGTGACACGGGTTTGAGTCCTGCCTGCGACATGTCCTAATCGCATGTCCCTAATCAAACACTTCCCAAAAAGCAGCCCATAGTAGAGTTAAACCTGTTTTACAGCAGGACGTCCTGTACTCTGCTCTCTCCGAACTTCCCGTTAAGTAGCACAGCGTTTGCCTGATCGCTATCGCTATCCTGGCAACATCCCATAATAATCTGCGATGACTTCCTGTGGCCAAAGCGCATCCTGTCCAGAGAGGATTAAACCAATGCATGAGATAACAGGATTTATGTTAAACACATGGGCATGGGCTTTAAATGGGAGATGTGTTATATGTCATGAGCTCAGATTTATAATTGCAGATTATAATTGCAGACTCACAACAGTGCTGGGTAGAAACTGACTATATTGTGATACAGATTCCAAAAACAAACTACTTGTAATTTGATTACATTAATCATAATCAGACCACATTCACTCTGCTTCACAAACACAACACACTCGCTGCACCTCTCGCTCCACATGCCATGCTTTAATAGGGAACGGACAGAGTGCACTCGTCTACATGTCAACACCGCGGTATAGAGTTCAGCAGAGCAATTCAGAACCGGACTTCAGTTTCAATCGACTTTCAGCAGCCTTTCATTTACCATAACTCACACTAGGGTTGCCGCGGTGAGGAAAATTTCCCACCGGTTAATCGACGTGTGACAACACCGGTAATCCCGGTGTCACCGTGGAGGGCAGGGCGGGGGGTTAAATAGCTTTTAAATGCGTGCGCGTTATACTTTCACTTTCGAAATAAGCGTCAATTGCTTGAATGGACAAAAAAAAAACAACTCGCTGATAATAAAACTTTTATTTATAGACTTTTATTAGCATAACGAACGAATAAAAATAACCCCATGCATAGGCTGAAAAAAGTGAAAATCGGCAAAATGTGGGCCCAAACAAATAAGAACCATAAAACGTTTATTAACGAATAAGAAAATAAAATAGGCCTAAATAAATTACACAAAGTTTAAATGAGATAAAACCAATTAAAAAGAGACGAATATCAAATAAAAACTTCAAAACGGACCTTAGCCTACATAAATGACATACTTTCACTTTCGAAATAAGCGTCAATTGCAATTCAGCGTCAATTGCTGGAATGGACAAAAAAACAAAAAAACAAAAAACAACTAGCTGACAATAAACTTTTATTTAGACAGCACTTTTATTAGAATAATAAACGAATAAAATATAGACAGAACTTTTATTAGCATAACGAACGAATAAAAATAACCCCATGCATAGGCTGAAAAAAGTGAAAATCGGCAAACTGTGGGCCCAAAAAAAATAAAACGTTTATTAACGAATAAGAAAACAAAATAGGCCTAAATAAATTAAACAAAGTTTAAATAAGATAAAGCCAAATAAAAAGAGACGAATATAAAATAAAAACTTTAAAAAGGACCTTAGCCTACATAAATGACAGCACTCTAAAAAAAAGTAAAACACTATAAATTGGCATTTATTAACATTAATATATATTGGCCAAAATATTGCCAAACAGGCGCTTTTGCATTGCGTTTTGACACCAAATCTTCCGCCATTATCTTGCTTTTCTGTAATTTGACTCGTTCTCGTCTCCACACGTGCTAAATGGAATCCTGATGCTTGCTGATCTGTGACGTGACGGCACGCGTTGCGCAGTTCATTTTTAATTATAATGCTCTCTTCAGAACTAAATAATTGAAAATTATTATTTTTAATTAATTCAAATAAATATTTTAGCAAAAACGAATACTTTAAAAAAAAAAGTCAAGACATCGCGGTGTCACGGTGGGAAAGTGATGTCACCGGTGAGGGGGCTTAAAACCGGTAACACCGTCAACACCGTCTATCGCGGCAAGCCTAACTCACACCCAAGTATTCTGCTAAATATGTTGGTTGGTTTCAGAGTGATATTTCAGTCATATTGAATGAATTTCCATTCTAGAACAATGAGAACGAGGACTTTATGTTCAGTGAATTAAGAGTTCCTGCTGTTGATTTTCTCATGCTTTTTATTGCCTCTTTAAGGCTTTTCTTGGCTTTCTCCTTTCATTTCGTACTATTTTTAAGCATTTTATGGATTCCTTTATATATTTTACACAGCTTTGAGGTTTGTGTGCATGTGTGTGAATGTTTCTGTCAGGTCTAGGCCTAATTAATTTCAGTCAGTCCTTTGACAAAATGTGTGCAGGTTTTAAGTTTCATAGCGCACACAATTCTGATTTGTTTATTAAATATTTAAGCCTATCATTTCGCAAGTGATGAATTCTGGTAGAGTGCATTTAAAGGGATAGTTCACCCCAAAAATGTAAAAGAAGATATTTAGAAGAATGTTGGTAACCAAACAGTCGAAGGACCCGATTAACTTATTATATACAGTCAATGGGGTCCATCAACTGTTTGGTTACCAACATTCTTCTAAATATCTTCTTTTGTGTTCAACAGAAGAAGAAAAAACACTTGAGGGTGAGTAAATGATGACCGAACATTCATTTTTGGGGGAACTATCCCTTTAATATCAACAACATCTACATTGGATGTCTTGGTAATGATGACACAATACCAAAAGACTTTCTAACAATGACTAATAACTAGTGCTATCAGTTAAACGCATTATTAACGGCGTTAACGCAAACCCATTTTAATGCGATTAAGTTTGTTATCGCGAGATTAATGGCCTTTTTGGCCTAGCAATCTTTGTAGTTTTTTTTTTCACATGCTTTTGCAACAGGATGCGGCATTCGTCGACCAAAACACTGAAGCAGCGGCGCGCACACCGAGGTCAAAATTCAAAATAGTTACATTTTTGCCGCTGCGACGATTACCAGCGCGGACAATAGAAACTTTTTGGCATCCAAAAACTTTTGAAAACTGGCGTAGCGCCGCGCATGTCCTGTCTGAAAGCACTGGATCTAGCTAGACCGGAAACACACTTGTTGCGAACCGGCCAAATAGTAGGTTAACGTTACGTGAATGACGAGCGCGAGACGCAGAAATGGATGCCAATAAGATTCTGAATTTAAAAAGTTTACTTTTAAAAAGTTGCTAAATTGATAAGACCAAAGTGATCTGTGTGTTTTGTTGTTGTGACTTGAGCTATCATCATCATCATCGCAGCACATCCAGTCTGAAATACCACTTGATGATGGCCAAGCACACACACACACACACACACACACACGCACACAGCTGATGCGAATTCTCCACCCCCTCGTCAATATCAGGACCTCGTCAGTATTTATTTCACCCTTTTATTGATGGACAGTGTTCAGAGATTATTTGCTCCAAGTGAGAATGTTAGTTGGAAATTGACAGCATAAGCCAACGTTGTTTTCAATAAGAAGCCGATTCACTTTTCCATGTTGATAAGAGCATTAAAATGAGAAAAAAATAATGGGACAGAAAGAAATCAAATGACATTTAGAATAGATAAAAATGTGTGATTAATCGCGAGTTAAGTTAACTATGACATTAATGTGATTAATCGCGATTAAATATTTTAATCGTTTGACAGCACTACTAATAACTAATAATATATAGGAAAAAAACACCATTTATTTAAAATATAATATTTTTTGTAACATTATTAATGTTTTTACTGAAGCTTTTGATCCATTTAATGCATG